GTTTGCTCTCAAAGCATTCCTTGAATCAGGAGCGGTGTTGAGATCCTGGGACACGGCTGCTGGGTGAACACAGGCTCATTCACCAGCTCGGTGCCAGTTCAGGTCCCTCCCTTGGTGGTTTTACAGCTGCCAAATATTTTAAAAGTCGCATTTTCATCGCTGTGTGTTGCAGCCTAACTCTTGGGTCTTTTTAAGGAAGTTTTGGGAGCAGCCACATGAGCGTGGCCCCATTGATGAGGGGAAAAAGGTCAATATGGAAAGTTATTGTATTTTTCATTTGGTGCCCCACTTGACAGGGGTTCTGTGACTCTGCCTGGCTCCAGAGCAGTGGGATGCAGATTTTGGTCAACAAAACCCTGAGCCCAACTCCAGGGGTGTGAAGGAGCCCATTGCTCAGGGCAGAAATCCTCACAGTGGCAATGCCAGGGGGGATCAGTGGGGAGGAACTGGCTGCAGGGAGCTTCAATCCTCTTTATTTTAAACCTCAAGGGAATTCTTGTTTTGGGAAGCCTCGAGTCCTGCCCATCCCAGGGTTTAAACAGAACTTGAAAAAGAAGGTGGTGTCATTATTAAGAAAATACCAAATGTCCACCCAAATGGACAATTTGAGGGAGTCAGAAATGTGAAATATGGTGAAAAACCTACCCAGACACGGAGGTCTCCATCTTCAAAGTGAGAATATCCCAATTCATCTTTGCAGCCAGTTCCTCTGCCCATCAGGGTTGAATGTGGTGTAAGTGAGAAAGCTGAAACTGCACCAGCAATATGTGGTGTAGGGCTGAGGCTTGGTCAAAAACCTGGAGGAAAATCCCCATTTCCTAAGTGGGTGAGAGATGGGAAGTGCTGCTCCGGGGCTCCCAGCTCCCATTATCCACACAGGAATCACCAGCAGAGGAGGAAGGTGGCACATCCTCCCTCTCTGCAGCCCCAGTCAATGAGGAGAGTGGTTTCAGGTGTCCTGAAAAAGAAATGTTCCTGTGTGAAGAGGTTTTTGAACTTGTCAGGAGTGTGATCAATGCGAGTCTCGTTGGCTGGGGTCAGAAATCGATGGGAGATGGCTCCGTGTCTCCCTGGGGGATTGTGGTGCTTGCCCAGGGAGGAGGAGAGAAATGCAGACAGTAGGGTTTTCCTAAAAGCACCTAAAATTTCCCACTTTGCCCACGTGGGAGTTATTCAGTATCAGTGGCAGCAAAGCTTGACTTGTCCCAAGGTCAGGGAAACCAGCAGCTTGGAAGAGACCAGAAGCCATAGCAGGGAATCATTGCTTTCCCTCAAAACTTGTGGGATTGAGGCAAAGAGAGTAAACATTAGAAACGAGCCACCTCAGATTTTTGTCTGCCTTCTGACTGTGGAGCACTTTTGTTTCGGGGCTTTGGGAGAGAAGACTTTAGGGAAAACGCCACAGTTTTCAAGGCACGGGATAAAATCACAAGAATCGACCAAGGCTTTTGTGAGTCTGTGGCTGGAATGAGCTGAAGGTCAGTCAGAAAAGAGGTTATCAGAGGAGGGGGTGAATGTGATCGTTTTCCCCTCCTGGTAAGCCAGAAAAGAGGGAGAGAGTTTGGATATCTGATACCTCCAGGTCTGACCCGTCTCTAATGGAAATGCTGGCAGGAAGCTCATAACATTTATTAGACAGCAACGAGCAGCTTTAATAAAATCAGAATCCGCACAGCTTTATTACAGACACTGGGAAGGAGAGGGGCCTGAAATGGCTGTTTAAGTACCAAGGGTTGCACACCCGGGGGCTGCTGAAAGAGATCCCCTCCTTTATGGTTTGGTGCTGGGTTCATTATTCAGCTTCCTTGTGAAGGCTCTGGTTCAACCCCCGGGGAGGCCCCACACGCCTCCAGGATGTTTTCCATGTGCACAGCCCCCAGCTCCAGCCCCAGCCGCTCCTCCTCTGCTGCTTTTTGTGCAGGGAGGGTGGGAGGCCAGCCTGGACCTCTCCATCATCAGCCACGAGCTGATGGGTTGCAGAGAGAGCTCGTCCCTCTCCAGCACTCCCAAATTGCTTCCAGCTCCCAGCTCTGCTCTGGAGGTGCCCCGGGCAGGGAGCAGCAGAGGGAGGTTCCTCCTGGGGTGCAGAAAGGTCCTGTTGTCATCAGCCATGTGCTGAAACCTGCTCTCAGGATGAAGGCTCTTCCCATAAGTAACAGGTTTTGCATCCTAAATCCAGTCCTGCTCTGCCTCAGCACGTGTGGTGTGGCTGCAGGCTGGGATACATCCAGCTTGGGAACGTTCCCTCCTGGGTGCTCTTGGGTTTGTGGCAGTGGCTCAGGCATTCTCTGGTCTCCCCACTTTAATTCTGGGTCTGCTCAGCTGCCTTCTGCCCCCTCAAGCTGTGGTTCCAAGGGATGCTGTGGGGCACAGGACCAGTGGCAGTGGTGATTTTGTGATGCCAGACACACGTGGGAAGGTGGCTGGTGTCATCCAGCAGCAACCCTGTTTGCTCTCACTTTGGGAAACCTCATGACAACTCCTTGCAGTGCAAACCAGAACTTTAAACTGCTTTTATTTAGCTAGGTATTTATTTAATCCCGCAAAGTTTTCAAACCCCTTTTTCTTTCTCCTGGAGGGAAACTCCTTCCTGCAGCTGTGCCAGTGGGCAGAGGATCACAGCAGAGATCCCACCCGTGTGCATGTCCCCAGCAGACTGGAAGTGGGTTATTTTTCTTCCTTTGCAGTGAAAACAGAATTAAAAAATCCCTACAACAAATATTCCCCGAGAGGCCATTTTTATTCCTGGTATGTCCATTTGCAGCCGGGTTGTTGTGCAATCCAGACCGCCTGGATGGAGCAGGTTTGGGTGTAACCCTTTGGGTGCCGAGGGCCAGCTCTGTCTGTGGGGCACCCTGAGGTGATGCTGCCTCTCTGCTCAGCCCTGTGAGGCACATCTGGAGTGCTGTGGGCTCCTCAGGACGAGAGGGACATGGAGCTCCTGGGGTGGAGGCTGTGGAGATGAGGAAGGGCCTGGAGGCTCAGAGAGCTGGACCTGCTCAGTCTCAAGAAGAGATGACTGAGGAGGGACCCCATCCATGGGTATAAGTGTCCAAAGGGAGGTGTCAGATGGACAAGGATGGACCAGGCTCTGCTCAGCGGTGCCCAGCAATTCCAAAGGGAGGTGTCAGATGGACCAGGCTCTGCTCAGCAGTGCCCAGCAAAGGCACAGGAGGAATGGGCAGAAAATGATGCCCAGGAATTTCCACCTGGATGTGAGGCATGGACAGTGACCGAGCCCTCGGCAGATTGTCCAGAGAGGCTGTGGAGTCTCCCTCACTGGAGATATTCCAGATCTGTCTGGACATATTCCTGAGTAGGATGCTCTGGGATGACCCTGCTGGAGCGGGGAGGTGGCCCTGGATGATCTCAGTTGTCCCTTCCAACCTGAATGGATCCGTGGTGGAGAGGAGCGGGGCTGAAGCGCAAAGCTGCCATCCCCCAGGGATTCCCTGTGGGAAGGGGAGGGCAGCAGCCCTGCCAGCACCCAGGGAGGCAGCAGTGGTGGCCAGAGGGGTGGATGGGATGGCTCTGGAGCTGCCTCAGAGCCGTCTGGTTCCTCTCACCCACGGCAGCAGAGCAAACCCCGCCGGCAGCTGCGGTGCCTGATGTGAAGCAGCAGCAGCTCCAGGCCGTGACCTCAGTTCTCGTGCTTGGGGGACAGCCTTGGTGAGCCCCTTCCCCACCTCCCACCCTGCACAACCCCCTTGGGCAAAGCTATCAGAGGCTGGGTGTAAATCCATCAAGCGCCAGCCCGTAATTAATTAATTTGTGTGTTTTGACTCCTTCCCTTTGTAGCTCCCGATTAAAAGCTTATTTAAGGGGTCGCAGACTTCTTCAGTTCCAGAGGGATTAAATGTGGGAACAACTGTAGGTCGTATGTGGGTAATTGCAATGAGGAAATGCTCCAAATTAAAGCTTCCTGCTAGGTCTGTCCAGTGGGAAAACCGAACAATTCTTTCAGAACAACTTTAAAATCAGAAATACATACATGTATAGAAATATATGTACAGAAATACGTGTTATTTTTCCTGTTGTGCTGCTTTGCCTGGAGAACACAAGTGGCAGAGTGTGCTCAGAAGAGACACACGAGCGTAGCTAAAGCAGAGGAATTCAGCAGAAAAAGGAGCCAGCGTGCTCTGGAGTTGGTTTTGAACCTCAGGCTCAGCAATTGCTTGTGAAAGCAGAAAGCCACGGAGCCGAGCGTGGTGTGGGACGGAGCCGCGTGGGAAAGGGCCTTTGGGAAAGGCAGCCTTTGGGAAAGGCGGCTCTGGGATGATTTTTCATTCCTCGGGTAGGAAGTTTAACCCATCCGTGCCTCGGGGAGGGCTGGCAGAGGGACAAATGCTGGTTCTCTCTGCGTCCCGATACTCTGCTTCCTGCGAAGGCAGAACTTGTCTGCTTTTCCTCAAAGTTAATGTGTTAAAGTCCCGTTTGGGGGTTGCAGGGAGCTGGAGCAGCGCCAGCAGCTCTGCTCTCACACAAGATGTGGTTTTCCTCCCCAGCGTGAGGCTGGGGTCGTGCTGCTCCTTGGGCCATGGGAAAGGTGCTGGCGCTGCTCTGCGAGGGGAGTCCCTGGTGAGAGCCCCCAGCAGAGCCCCCGGCTCCCCGGGGACGCCTCCACTTCCCAGGATTTTCTTTCCCAGCCCTGGAAGAGTTTTGCAGCCCTGAAGCCCTCGGCCTTTGGAAGCTTGAGGCTGCTGCAAGTTCAGTGCAGAGAGTGAGGGATTTGTCCCTGCTGCCAGCCTGGAGGGGCAGCAATCCAGGATGCCCGAGGGGAATGCCAATGCAGGAGCTCAGGACAGGCACTCTGCCCATCTCCGAGCCACCCTGCCCAAAATCACAGAATCCCAGCTGGTTTGGGTTGGGAAGGACCTTAAAGCTCGTTCAGTTCCACCCCTTGCCATGGGCAGGGACACTTCCCACTATCCCAGAGTGCTCCAAGCCCCATCCAACTTGGCTTTGGCCACTTCCAGGGATCCAGGGGCAGGCACAGCTTCTCCAGGCAGCCCGCTCCAGTGTCTGCTGTGCCAGCTGCCCGCTGCCAGCTGGAAGTCCGGATGGATAACCCCAGAGCCGAGGGCTGGAGAGTTTGATACGGAGAGTGCCACTGTCCCCCCGGGAATCCCGGGACAGCCCCTGCCCATCCCGTCCGGCATCTCCCGGCGGGCTGCGGGTGGATGGGCACGGGACAAGGGGCTGTGCCCGCTCCACGCGTGGGAACGCGGCTCTGCCGGAGGATTTGGGGACACTGAGCCCTTCCGCAGCTTCCCGAGCGGCGGCAGCCGGCTGCGTTTCCTCGGGAGAGCGCTGGTGGAATTGCTAATGCTCCAGCCCGAGGTGCAGCATGCGGAGGGCTGCAGCTGCAGCATCAGGTACAGCAGCAACGCCGCCGTTAATTATTGACTCTCTCTTCAATTATCAGCCCTGATAAGGCAGCACCCCCCTCGACAGCCCGGGCAGCGCTTGGTGCTCCGTGTTTTCTGGGAAAAAAGAACTGTTCCGTGGAAAAGTAACTCGTTTTGTGCACCGGGATTGAACTGTCCTCGCAAAGGTCATCCGAGAGCCGTGGGCTGCTCTGCTGGAAAATCAATCCCTCTTTTGTGCTTCTTGGTTTGAACTTGTATTTGCTTTCTGAGCAAGGTCACAGCTCAGCTGACCAAGTTGGTGGCTGCTGGAGCAGGCTGGGCTCCAGCCACGCCGCGGCCGCTGCTCCGAGCCCTGCGCTGGGAGAAGATGCTTTGGAGGGAGGCAAGAGCTGCTGCTGCTGCCCGGGGGGTTTGTGGGTGCCAGCGTGAGCAGGTAACCTGACAAAACGCTTTGCTAACCAGTTTTTCCTTTCATCACAAAGTGCTGGAGCTGCTGCTGCAGTGCAGGAGGGCAGACAGGCAGAGCTCAGATCATGCTGTGTTACAGCTAACAAGACTGTGCTAAATGCTGGTGGGTTATCTTGTTATTTATAGGCTCAGGGTTAACTATTTCCCAGTTAAAATAACTAGCAAGACACTCTGGGAGAATGGATTTTGTGGGTATTGGTGGTACGTGGTTGAGTTGATTTGTTATTTAAATGTTTGGGGGTGTCATGGTGCTCTCCTTTCTGCTGGCTGGGGTGGATGGGGGAGCTGCTCACATTGCCTGGCAAGTGGGATGGAGTGAAAGAGGGGTTAAATGTGAGTGTAAAGAGCCAGTGCTTGAGTCCAGGCTGGTTAAAAAGACAGTGCATTGTCCCTGCAAACGGGCTGCCCCCGGGAATAAAGCCACTTCACTCTGTTGCCTTCTCACATATTTGGCTTCTCCGTTTCCATTTCTGTATGTATTTATTCCTGCCTTGAGAAAAACTTTCTAATTCCAATCTGGATTAATCCTCCCTGTTCAGCAAAGGTAAGAATCAGCAATGCATGGGGAGAAAAAGAAATGTTCTTCAATTTTATTTAATAGAGAAAACTCAGCAAGTATAGAACCTGGCAGAGGGTCAGGCTAACAGGTTTTAGCAGGATGCAGAGGCACCTAAAACTGTTACCCTGCCTCAAATGATGGACCCTGGCTGTAGGGGTCTGCTACTTCTGGCAGATTACTTCATATTTTAATCTCATTTTTCTTAGGGACAGGCATGGGAGAGCAGCTGTGGGGTCCAAAGAGGCACATGTTTGGCTCTAAGCCATCTTCTCCATGCCTGAGCTGCCCCGGAGGGGACAGGAGAACATCAGCAAGCTGGTTGGGAACATTCAGCATCCTTTTACGAGGCGATTTTGAAGTAGATTGGTCAAAGGAGAGCAGTCGTAGTATCAATTTGGGCTGCAGAGTTGGGACCCAGCCAGCTCATAAATGATCCAAATGTAATTATCTAGATATTAAAGCCCTTCCTATTCACTGGCTTTCCCCCCCACTTTCTGAATAAATGACCTAGAAGAGTGGAGTGTAGCTGGTCAGGCTGGAATTGGCTACAGTCGGAAAATTAAGGGAAAGAAACAACATTTGAGAAAGAGGTTGGTGTTTGTTTTGGCACGTGCTGTTCACTGGCAGGAGGAGACAGAAGGAGTTGTCCTTTGTAGAAAGAGTGTGGTTGATTGGAGAGCACTTGAGGAGCTTTCCAGGAGCTCACAAGGTGCTGGGTGGGCATCAACGTGACCCTGCTGGAGCTTTGGAGAGCTTGGATGTTCTCCTTGGGCTGGGACCTTACTGACTTCTCATCAAGGCTCTGCATTGACCATAAACATGCCCACGTGATTGACAAGTGATGGTTTCTATAAAAGGTTTTGATCTTTCAAAGTATTTGTCATAGAATCATAGAATGGCTTGGATTGGAAGGGACCTTGAAGATCATCTCATTCCATGGGCAGGGACACCTTCCACCATCCCAGGCTGCTCAGAGCCCTGTCCAAGCTGGCCTTGGACACTTCCAGGGATGTGGCAATGTCCTGTGGTAACAATACAGCAGGATTTGACTCCATTTTTTAGCTGGTCTTTGGTAAAGGTCAGCTGGAGCCCCTTCCTGGGGAGCTCTGGAACTGTGGTCAGGCGCTAAAGCCCTCGCCGAGGCAAAGCTCTGCACGCAGAAAATGAGTTCAGACTCTGGTGTTTTGGTCCATGAGATGGGTGTGAGCTGGGGCTGGCTCAGCACAGGCTGTGCTCTGCTTGGTCCTGCCCTGAGAACATTGCACAGCTCAGGGATGCACTGGAGGAGCAGGGATGGACTTCCAAGCAGCCTCTGGCCAGGAACCAAACTAGATACTGTAAGGAGAATCATAAACAAACAACCTACTGTTCAGGAAACTCCCACGTCATCCTCTGTAGCAGAAATTAAAACCAGACCTTCTCACTTGGAGCGTTGTTGTTCTTCTCACACGAGCCAGGGAGCCTCCACTGTGATGTCCAACCTCCTTCACCCTTCCCTGCTCCTCCCTGTGCCTTCCTAAAGGATCCAGAGGTGAGAAGTTTCACCCAGGACCTTTCTTGGTCGTTCCCAGCCTTAATTTCTCATGCTCCAGGAGGGTCTCATCCATGCCCACGTGATGGGAAGGAGCTGGAAATGTGTTACAATTTCTGGCAACACAGCGCAGAAATGATGTGAAGATCTCAGTGTTGGCTGTGGTAGATCTCCACCTGAAGTTGTTCCCCGAGCCAAAAGCAATTTGTCTGTGGTTCAGTGCAATTTGGTGAAGGTTCTTTTTAACAGCAGGGACGTGCTCTGAAGTAATGGCTGTCATTTGAATGAGATTCAACATAAATTTTGAATCTTTGCTTGTTATGGATTTTAAAAAAAGGCAAGCCAGTCATTTCTGTGTAGTTTATATCCCTGTTGTCAGGGAGCTTTTATCATGCTGGATACCTCAGCTCACAGGAGTCAGTGGAGAGTCCCTGTGCCATCGATCCCAAGTCATCCCAAATGTCTGTCTGTCCTCGCTGGCAGTCAAGCCCTCTGTAATGCAGGGAGTGTTTTACAAGGACCAGCTCCCCGGGATGTGTCTGTCAAGCACAAGCTGTTGCCTCTGGAAAAGGAGCTATTGATTTTAGCAGCTTCAAAGCCCTTGGACACCACTGGGCTGCAGAAGATGGGAAGTGGGAGGGGGGTGGCCTTTGAAGGCTTGTAAGGTTTTAAGGAGAGATGAAGTTCACATGGCTAAGTGTGTTATTTTATTAAATTAGAAGTATCCATTTCTTTTTTTTAAGGGTGAAGCGACTCCTCAGCCCTTGTCAGAAGATGCTTAAGTGACAGCCCAGTTAGACCCCCGCCATGGAGAAGACAGAAGGTATGGAGCCTCCAGGATGGTTTTTTTTTTTCATTTATTCCTTGAAAAAAACCCAACCAAGCCTGGAGTAATTTCCTTACAGAAATGCTGTAAATAACCTGTTCTCTGTAGATGTGGGGCCAAGAGGTGAAAAATGCATCGCTCATTATCACGCTGATTTCTTAGAAACCACAGCAAAGCAGGTCCCAGCTCTAGATCAGCACATATTTGCCCTCCCATGCTCTGTGACAGATCCCTGCTCCCACCCTGCAGCTGTGCTCCTGTGCCCTGGGATGACCCCAGTGGTGTCTTCCCTCTGTCCTTCCTCTGACTTCCACATGCTGCTTCCCACCCAGGCAGCACCTCAGCAACTCGTTTGCTCAGAGGTGCAGAGCAGCCCAAACCTCTGTGGTTTCAGGGACTTGGTGCATAAAGGGAAGTGCAGAAATTTAACTATTACCCCTCAAGGTGGAAATCTGGGGGCTGTGAATGTTTGCAGGCTGGAGATGGCCGTGTTAAAGCGGGAGGCTCTGCGGGAGAGCTGTTTGCCTGTGCTGGCTGGGTGGGCCAACACAGTGACACCCATTTAGTGGTGATTTGCCTCAATTAGGAGCTGTGCTGGGAGCTGAGCCGGTCACCTTGGGATGTGTGCTCTGCATGGCTGCAGCTCTGAGCAGCAGCCTCTGCCCACATCTGTCATTTTCAAGGAATAATTTGTGACCTGGTGGTTGCAGGTGAAGCGAAGCAATGATTTTCCTGCCTTGTGTGCACTGCTTATGCCACTGAAAAGTTCGAACCAAACCAAAAGCCTTGAAGAATGTCATTGTCACAGACTGATCCCACGCTCTGTTATTGAGCTGGATTTATTATCCACCAGGCAGCTCTCTGTACCTACACAGACACGTAGCTCTGCCTGCAAAACCTGCTGTTTGCTTAATTGCCAATTAGAGCCATGATTTCAGGAAATTTTTGGCTTCCTTAGTGCAACAATTACCTGATGCGCCAGATCAGAGCTTGGTGCGTGTCACTGTGTGTCTGCACAGCTTCACCACGATAATGAGCTGCAGCCCCTGCCTGCCCAAAACTGAGATGAAAGGAGAAAAACATCTCCCCCCTGCTCTAAACATTTTTTTTTTCTAAAATTCGATCATTTATTCTTTTTTTGGGGGGGGTGTTCCAGCAGATGGCCAGCCACCCAAACCCGACGGGGACAGGGAGCAGCCCCGCAGCCTCCCCTACTCCCTGGAGACACCCTACGGCTTCCACCTGGACCTGGACTTCCTGAAGTACGTGGACGACATCGAGAAAGGCCACACCATCAGGAGGGTGCACATCCACCGCAGGGCCAAGCAGCCCAAATTCAGCACCCTGCCCCGAAACTTCAGCCTGCCCGAGAACGGCTCCCGCGCCTGCTCCGGCGCCGCTCCCAGCAAGAGCTGGACCTCCACCTGCTCCTTCCCTCAGCGAAAGGCGTCCCTGGGGGAAGAGCCGCCCCGGGCCCTGCTGCCGGCCGAGGCGGCTGCCGAGGAGCCGAGCTACCGGAGGAAGGCGCTGCTGTTGGAGACGCGGCGGCAGGCGGAGCTGGGCGCGCTGAGGGCGAGGCCGCAGCTGCTGCGAGCCTCCAGCATGCCCGAGGCGCTGCCCCCCGGCCAGAGCCCCCCGCCGCTCCGCAGCCCTCCGCAGCACGGGCACGGCTCCGAAAGCGCCTCCCTTCCCGGCTCGGACAGCCTCAGCCCGCCGCGGGAGATGGAGCCCCGCGGGGCCGTGCCGGGGCTGGGCCCGCCGCAGCCCGCCTGGCAGAGCCAGCAGCTGCAGGTGGTGGTGGAGAGCCGCGCTGAGGAGGGCGATGCCGCCGATGGCTCCGGCGTGGCCCTGCGGCTGGCAGAGGAGAACGGGAACGCTGCGGAAAGGGGGCTAAGCGTGAGTGAGGTGGATGTGAACGTGCTGAAGGAAGGTGAGGAGAGGAATGTCCGAGACAGCGGTGTTCCCCAGGCTCCTGACCATGGAGAGCCCGGCGGGGTCACGGCGCTGAAGCAGCAGGTCGCTGACCTGGAGGAGCAGCTGGCCAGGAAGAAAGAGGAGCTCGAGCAGGTCAGGGCAGTGCTGGAGCAGCAGGATCATGAGATCCAGGAGAAGGAGAAAAGCATTAAGCTGCTGGCCAGCTCCAGAGCTCAGCTGGAAGAGCAGCTGTGGCAGGAGAAGTCCAGAGAGGCTGAGCTGCGGAGGCGGCGCGGCAGCGGGGCCTTGCAGCGCCTGGACGCCGCGGTGAACACCGAGCTCTCCCAGGGGACAGCGCCCAGGCAGGCCCAGGACAAAGGCATCAACGTCAATATCCCGCTCTCCACCAGATCCGTCGGCTGCGGCTCCCACCGGGAAGAGAACAGCAGCGCGCAGGCCGTGGAGGCGTGCAGGGAGCCAGGGCTGGCAGGTGCTCGAGCACAGGGACGTTCTGGTGAGGCCAGCATGGAGGCTGGGCCTCCTGCCCCGGGCTTCACCCCGCTGCAGATCCACGAGCACCCCGGCGACGACAACCAGAACCACCAGGACTCCCCTGGGCCAAACGCAGCCCAAAGCAAGGCGGGCTTTGGAGAAGATAACCCTCGGGAAGGGCTGCAAGAGGAAGGTGCCCCTGGCCACGAGGACCTGCCGGCTGTTGACCCCATCGGCCAATATGTAAAAAAGATCCAGGAGCTCCTGCAGGAGCAGTGGCTGTGCTTGGAGCACGGGTACCCCGAGCTGGCCAGCGCTATCAAGCAGCCGGCCTCCAAGCTCAGCTCCATCCAGAACCAATTAGTTAATTCCCTAAACTCCCTGCTCTCTGCCTACTCCTCGCAAGGGCCCGTGGATAAGGAGAATTCCAACACGCACTATCAACAGTTGGGTAAATAATATTGGCATAGGCTTCGATGTGTCCGGGCCAAATCTTTTCCCATTTATTCCAGCGTGGAGCAGGGGGATGTGGTGGAACGGTTGTTGTCAGTCAGATCAGGAATAGTCTCGACAAAGCATGATGAGAAAGGCAAATGTCTGCACTGCACAAGTTATGGATCTGACGTGGGAAAAAGCAAACAAAATGATGTAGGAGCTCATAAAGCAGTGGCTCATTTATATGCAGGATCAGCTTCCAAAAGCTGCCACACTGGTGGCTGTTCCATCAAATAAACATTCTTTTTATTCGGATTGGACATCTCAGTTTGCAAGAATATGAGACTGGTGCTCATCTGGGGTAAATCAATTTGGAGTTCTCCAGAACCCAAACCAGTCAAACTAACTGAGCAACCAGGCTGGGAAAAGACTGTCCCCACTCACAGACCTTCATCTAAAATAATTTTAGCTTATATGAAGATGGGAATCCAATGCCTGTTCTCTGGGGGAGGGAAGGGACTTGCAAATAGATGAGTGACTTATTCCTTAATATATATACACTATTCAAATTCCAATGGAAAAACTCATCCATGTAGTGTTATAGCAGATTTATATAGGAATTTTCCAATACATTGCTAGTGGGGAAAAACACCCCAAAAACCGAAACAGTATTACAAAAGTAAAATCTACTTATATTCATAGGACAAATACATAATTTCCAGTCACTTCCTTTATATTCCCAGTCACCTGGAGATGTTTGAGACATTATTAAAGGTGGCAGGGCAGGTTCAGGTTGTGGCCAGCTGCATCTGTAATTTTGCAAGACATCAAAAGACTGATGAAGTAAGGTGCTTACAATTATGATTTGTAGCTTGTTGCTAGAGGTTGGGAATAATTATTGCTAATTATGGCACATCTGCTTAATTAATCTATTATTTTGTATTTTGGTAGAAAACTCTCCAACCACAAGTCTTAAATCCATCATGAAAAAGAAAGGTTATGGTTTCCATGCAGGAGGCAATGGGACCAAAAAGAATCTCCAGTTTGTTGGGGTAAATGGTGGGTAAGCATCCATTCAGAAGACAAAAACTGCCTTTTAACGTGGAATGTCCTCTGTATGGCTGGAGAAGTCATTCTTTCTCCCCCTCTTTTCCCCTCCTGATTAAAAGGCCAGTTGAAGTAGAGCCTCTTTTCTCCCTTCTTTAACCCAGCACTGATAACCCGTGAGTAACCCTCTTGGGGAAGGGCTGTGGCGTGCTCAGAGCAGAGGGCACACGCTGGGCACTGACACTCTCTGCACACCCTTCTCCTGGGGCTTCTTCCAAAACCCAGCTGGGGATATTCCATGGGAAGACTCCCTGGGAAGATTCCCACTGACCTTGGTGGGTTTTGGAGGAGGCCAGCCCTGCCTGGGTCAGCACGCTGCCACTAACCTGCCCCCACGCTCCAGCAAAGCCAACAGCACTTGGTTCAGGGGCTGGGAAGACACTTTTTTGGTAAATAAGGGATTACCTTGGGGTGAAGGAGACTTTGGGTTGTGCTCCCCATTCCAGGTGTGTCCACTATCCAACACTCCTTGGCCTGTGAGCTAGGCAGAGGCAGCACCTCCTGCTGAGGTGGACGTGTGCTGGCATGAAGAGTGCAGGACACGTGTCACTGTCCCTGGGCTGGGCAGACAGCTGGGTGTGCCAGCCTGGGTGCTGCTTTCTGCTCACATCCTGCTCCCCTGGCTTCCCAGCTGCTGGGTTCTGCCAAATGGGTACAACTTGTAGGGACTGGAGGAGTCGTGGTTACTTTGAGGAAAGTTCTGGGGTCCCCATCAGAGTGAACGTTTTCTGTTTTGTGGAAGACATTATTAATATTAATGCTTTTAGAGAACCAGAGGAGAGATCTCCATCAGGGCTGCTGGAATGGTGGATTCAGCCCAAAAGACTTCAGCCCACAAGCTGTGCAGACACAGCTTTTGTCTCGTGCTCCTCGAGGCTGCTGATGCCACCAGTCCCTCCTTGCCACAGGGGCCATGCTGCTGTCACCCTGCCACCGTGCCAGCAGCTGCCAGCAGGGAGGCAGCTCCCAGCCCCTGCCCGGGCTGTGTGTGATGGACATCCCTCCAAACCCTGAAGTAACCTTGCCTGCTGCTCATTAACTGCTTCTGTCACACGCCTGCTGCTTAAGGAGCCAAACAAAGACTAACCCCGACTTCGGCCGTGGCTCAGACCTTTTAACTTGCTGCTTGTCACTCTGGGCTTCACCCAAGGCCCATTGGGGGCAATGAGCCTTGGTCAGGCCCCGTGGCTGCGGCTGGGGAAGGAGGGAGTAACCTCTGGTGTCCTCAAATAGCTACGAGACAACGTCAAGTGAAGAAGACACCAGCTGTGAGGACAGCGCGTCGGATGGTGACACCGAGACCGAGGCCGAGGGCAGAGCCGGGGACACGGAGCCCGAGCAGGCTGGAAGGGAAAGCAGAGGGGCTTCCTCAGGGGAGAAGCGTGAGGATGATGATGATGGTGATGAGCAGGAGGCATCAGCAGGAGCAGCACCCTGCTCTCAGCACCAGGCTCACAGGTAACCAGGACACAGTGATGACCAAGCCACAGTGGTCACAGGACACGGTGCTGCAGGGCTGGGTCAGGGCTTCTGGTGACCTCTGCAGGAAAGGGAAAAGGCTTTAAAGAGCTAAATATTTTCTGAGTTGCTACGGAATCTAATGGGGATTGATTCAAGCCCTACACTGAGTCATGTCTGGTGAGTTAGCTCATTTCTTCCCTCTCATGGAAAGTTTTTTGGTAAAATTCTTTGCAGGTTCAGGAATAAGATTCCCCCCCCCCCACCTTAAGGATTTTTGTAATAGATGAGATTGACCACATAAATCTGTGGCTCTGGGCTTAAACCTCTGCTTAAGTGCTTAGCTTTGTACCTAAAATCTTTGTCAAGTCAATGGGACAACTTGTGTCCAATAATTTAAACACTTAAATGTGTTGAACATATTCCAACCTAATCTCTCTGTGTTCTCCTACTTGGTTCAGTATCTCTTGCAAGTCCATGGTGGATTTACAGAAGTCTTTTCCCTTCAGATGCAAACCCTCTGAAGATTTCCTTGCTGCCTGCCAGCTCCTCAGTGAACACCTCCCAGAAATCAGGAGCAGAAGCAACAAGCATCTGGTACAGATATTTCCCACTCCCGTTTCAGACACGGTTCATGCTCTCTGTTCACTTTAATGGATGAGATTATCCCTGTGGCACATTGCAGGCTGTGCTCTGGACAGCTTTGTGGGGAGAGGGGGTGAGGTGACATCTGAGTCAGTTTTACACGGCCAAAAAGAAAGGAAGGGGGGTGGTGGTGGGGAAAGGAAGATGAAGGCTTTGTCTGGTTACTCATCCAAGTCACCACAGGAAATTCCTTTCCCCCTCAAGTTGTAGCAGCAATCACAAAGCCACAAGCTGAGTGCTGGCTGGGTGGGGCCAGGAGCTGGGGCAGCCGCTGCTCCGCAGGGACAGTGACAGTGACAGTGACCCGTTGGTGTTTGCAGCAGCACGTCCTCGGCTCCATCTCCCAGGAGTGGTTCCAGGTGTCCAGCCACAAGGCTTCCAGGCCGGAGGTGGTGGCAGCGTACCTGGAGGCGCTGGGGGACATCCAGCCCCAGCTCCTGGAGACCGTGGTGAACCTGCCTGACAGGAATGGCAACACAGCTCTCCACTACAGCGTGTCCCACTCCAACTTCCAGGTTGCAAAGCTCCTGCTGGACACGGGTAGGAATGGTCACTCTGCTCAGCCAGGGGTTCTGCTGGGCTGGGGTGGCAATGGCTCTTGCCGTGGGGTTGTGGTCCCATGAGGGGTGGCTGCACAGGGAATGGGGGGACATGGACAGTCCCAGACATGGCAAACCCTGAAGGAGGTGCAGGGTCCTCCCAGGAGCTGAAGGAGGTGGGACAGAGGTGGGGCTGAGGGCCAACAGCCACCTACCTGCAAGGGCCCCATCCAGGAGACACCCATGGAGGCAAGGTCCATCCAGGAGAAAAACGGGCCCCAAGATCCATCCAAAGTACCAGGATAGGGCTGCGGTCCATCCAGGAGACCTGGCTGACCTCAACACCAGCATCCTCCCCCATAGCTCAGCTCTGGGCCCATGGATGTAGCCGGGGGTCCCAGCTGGGGCTCCTCAGGGACATGAAGGCTCATTAGTGCCCTCACACATTTGGGGCCTTTGCAGCCTGACTTTGGGATGGCTCAGGGTTGCTGGATCCAAAGGGATGTCCCTCATGGCCGCAGTCCAGGTGGCTCCCCAGCTTCTTGCAGCAGCCAAAGCCACATCATGGCTTGGGGCAGGAGGATCAGACCCCTGAGAGCGTAAGAAACCCCCAGCACTGCAGAAAAACTCCCATGTTAAACTATTGAACTTCCAGCTTGTGTTGCAATGAAAGAACAAAAATCTCAGCTGAGCTAGTACAGGGCAAAAATGTGCTCGTGCTCCGAGAGAACAGAGGCACTTTGGCCTTTTGTCATGGGCTGGACAATCCATGAAATGTTTGGGAAATGGCAGATTACCATACACATCTATAACCCGATTGTTGCCGCAGAGGCGCGGGGAGGGAAGGGTTTGAGGCAGCTGCTTCCTCAGGGCCAGGCTGGACCCGAGCCCTCACCCTCAGACACGGCTCATTCCTCGTGGAGGAGCTGGAAATGGGCTCTTTGAAGTGAAAAATGAGTGAAACGGGGCCAGGATGTTTTCCAAACCCGTTGGGTGATGGGCGTCTCTCTGCTGCTCCCTTGCCACGGGAGCCAAAGCAAACAGCCCACAGCTCCAACCAGCATGTGCTTGAGGCATTAATTATCCCCCTTTAATTTCTATTTGTTGTGGTCTTCAAAGTTAATTGAGTTGACCTCAACAGTTGTAATTAACTGTAGCACCAGGGGCCGTTTAATGCTGCGAGCCCGGATATTCAAAACAGATAAATCCCCGTCCTGTATCATTATGGAATCGCTCCTTTTCCTGGAAATATAAGATGCCACACGTTGTATGACTCCCTCTTTCCTTTCTGCTCCCTCTGGGTGATCCACCACGGGCTGGATCCACCCCCTGCAGGCAAGTGCTGCCTGGACCTGCAGAACCGTGCTGGCTACACGGCCGTGATGCTGACGCCGCTGGCGGCCCCCGAAACCCGCCAGGACATGGAGGTGGTGATGAGGCTGCTGAAGGAGGGGGATGTCAACCTGAGAGCTGCCCAGGTGTGTGACAGCAACCAGCTGGGGCACTAATTCGGGTTCTTTATCTTCTGTGGCAGTGCCAGGCTGGGGCTCGGCAGCAGGTGTGGGGTGGGAGCTGCTGCTTCCCAAATGTTCCCAAAGAAACCTCAGCTGAGTTGCAGTGTGGCCACCCAGCAGCTCCCTGGGAAGGGGTGTGACAGCTGGGGCAAATGGAGAAACCAAAAAAAGGCTGGACATTTTTCAAACGAGTGTTTCTGAGGTAAAAATCAGAAGTGCTGCCAGGGAGGAGCAGCAAGGGGTGAACCCCAGGGCGTGGGAGCTACATCAGAGTCACACATTTTGGTTCAGGGATGAGAGTGCCCTCACCCATCTCTGCTCCCAAACTGCTGTGAAAGTTAGTCCAGAGCTGAATAAACTGCCCAGGAGGATTTGGGGAACCCATGTTTGGGGGCAGCTGGGCAGTTTGCAAGGACCTTCCACAAGTGAGCAGGTGCCTCTCACAACACCCACTGAGGAGCCCCAGGGTAATTTAATAACATGCAATAGGTGATAATGACATGCAATAGGATGCAATATTAATATGATTTATTATCATGTATGTACGGTGCAATAATAATAGACAGTGTTGTAATTTGTGGTTATGGGATGTGGGTTAGTGGTGGGCTTGGCAGTGCTGGGTTAATGGTTGGAATTGGTGGTCTTAGAGAGCTTTGCCAATTTAAATGATTCAATTATTCTATACGTGCTATAATAATAATAATAATAATAATAATAATAATAATAATAATAATAATAATAAACAATTATAAAAATAATAATTCTAGATTGATAACTATAATTAGACATTATACAACTATTATAATAATTATTATTATACTTATTATATAATATTATACTATTATAAATACTATAATAGTATACATTATTATATATACCATTATATTAAAAATAATAATAATAATCTATTATACTATTATTATATTATTGAAAATATTATCAGATAATTACTATAGTATATATATTATATATAACATATTGTATAACATAATTATAATTATAGTTATAATAACAATACTACTACTACTAGGATCATTATACTATTATTATATTATAATATTATTATATTATTGAAAACATCAGATAATTACTATAAACACATATATAATATTTAACATATAACATATGATATATATGTCATATATATAATATGTTATATATAATATATAATATATTCTTCGTCTTCTTCGTCTTCTTCTTCTTCTTCCTCTGTTGTTGTTGTTATTATTATTACTATTAATGTTAATAATAATTTATTATTCTAATTATCATTATTACTGTTACTCTTCCCCCGTCAGCGTGGGCGGGCAGGGCAGTGGGAGGCGGCGGGCAGGGGTTTCTCAGCCTGTGCTGTGCCCTGCAGGGCGGCCAGACCGCGCTGATGCTGGGGGTCAGCCACGACCGGGACGACATGGTGCGGGCGCTGCTGGCCTGCCAGGCCGACGTCAACCTGCAGGACGAGCAGGGCAGCACGGCGCTGATGGTGGCCTGTCGCCAGGGCAACGCCGACATCGTCCGGCTGCTGCTGGCGCAGCCCGGCTGCCTGGTGACGCTGACAGACAAGGTGCGGCTCCACAGCATCCCCGGGCTGGGGACACCCAGCTGGGATCGTGGCCTTGAAGGGAAGGGGTGCTGGTTTGAGTCCATTTTCTGGAAGCCAACCCCCTGGCTTTGGTGCTGCTGGGCCATGGATGGGGTGGCTGTGACAGCCATAGGCTGGGCAGGAGCATTGGTGTAACCCTAAACCATCCCAGATGGAATCCCGGGCACGTGGAGTCAGCACAGCTTCAGCTCCAAGAAATGAGCAGCAATTAACTGCTGAGAATGGAGCCTCTCCGTGGGGATGTGTGGGATGGGAGCGGGTGGAAATTCCTCCTGCCGGGCCACAGGGCTGGGTTTGGAATTACGGAACTATTTTCTAATTAAACTATAATTTTATCTGAGACGTGCAGGAGGGCACCGGGGCTGGGCAGAGGCACAGCTGGGCTGGGTTTGGTGTGGCTGGGGCCCAGAGGGGGGTTTGGGATGGTGACTCACTGTAAGGCAGGGAAGAACAGAGGGAGGGGAGCCTTGGGGCTTGGCTCTGACACCTCTGTGTCCTGCAGGGCGGGAACTCGGCGCTGTCACTGGCCCGCGGGGACATCGCCGCGCTGCTGCGAGCCCACATCGAGCTCAGCCCGTCCCTCCCGGTGTGAGCCGCAGCCAGCTCTCCTCCCTGGGGCAGGGCCACAGGGCAGCAGCCTCCCTGCACACCGAGTCGTGCTCCCCGTGCCGAATTCTCCTCATTCCTCCACTCACAGCCCTGATCTGTGCCACAAACAACTCCAGACTCTCCTCTCCGCTCCTCCCGGGTAGATTTGGCAGGTGAGCACCCGAAAAAACTGAGGAAAGCACATTAGAGCAGCAATACTTAGTCTTTTGTAACCTGAGGTTATGGGTGTCCTTTTAATCGACTACTTAACTGTATCTCATTTAACTTGTAAGTTTGTGTCCTAATATTTATTATCAGCTCTTCTGTAAGTAGTGGCAGGCAGCGATTACTCAGTGTATGTAACAACAAACACAAGCTGGATGGATTATGGAAAGCATAAAATCCTATTTATGTTTGCTTGTGCGGGTCTGATGTAAGAATTAAAAATTAATGCTCTAGGAAAATATTTGAGCGTGCCAGACCCAAACACGCAGACATTGTTTTGCCTGGGTTTGGAGTTACCATATGGCTGTTATTTTTCCCTAATTAAGTTTGAGCTAACGGGGAAGTGCAGCCCATGGACAGGCTCTGCATCATGGTGGGGTGGGGCGGGGCATTCCAAGCACTGGGAGATCCCAGCAGATTCCCATCCCAGGGTGTGGTGATGTTGTCCAAGAGCTCTGTGCAGTGGCTTTGCTGGCAGATGCCTTTTGGAGGAGCAGTGCTTGCTCCTTGCTTTGCCTCTGCTCAATTTTAATATTCCCAAACTCCTCCTGTAAAGCCAAGATGTGATTTAGGTGCTGGAACTGGGTCTCCCCCACCATGGAGCACCCCCAGGGTCCAGCATCACCAAAAATCTGGGTTTTTTCTTAAATCCCTCTGCTGACAGAGGCTCAGGCCCCACTTTTCCAAGCATCCTTGTTCTGCTGCATCAGGACCCACTGGGTCTCCCTTGGTTTTGGTGGAGCACACCCAGATCTCCCTGAATAGGTAATTACTCTTTTTTTTTTTTTTTTTTTTTTTTTTTTTTTTTTTTTTGTAAGCAGAAGTCAATTCTGGACCACTCTGGTTGTTGTTCAGTCAGTTCACCTCCTGACAAAATGTTTCTTGAGCTGCCTTGTGCCCCCATCCTTGCAGGGAGGGGAGAACAGCCCTGACCTCTGTTTTCCATGGAAATCTGCCATCTGCTCAATTTTCTTTCCTTTCTTCACATTTTCAGTCCAGAGCATTCACTATCTCAAACTCCTTATCTGCCTTTTTTTTTTTTAATCTATAACCCAAAATGCCTCCTTTATGTACAAATAAAATGAATTAAACCTTTCCCTGTGTGTGTCCCTGTGGCTGTAGCTTTTCTGGAGTGATTTCACAGCACCAAACCAGCCATTTTTGAGTTTTTTCTTCAGGTCAGTGACACCCCCCACATCCCCAGAGGGGTCCCTGCACAGATATGACAAGGTGGGATATTTTTTGCAGGAATTCCCCCGATTTGTGTACAAAAGCCACCATGGGCATCTCTGCCAGTCCCAGCTGCAAACAAAAAAGAGCCAGAACACAATTTTTTGACAGTTTTCACTGAGTTTTTTTCCTGACAGCTCTGGATCCACACTTGCAGAGAGGAATTTTCCTGCTGCTTCCCTGAGGAAGGTGGAATTTCCAGCTTCAGCAGAATAAATGTGAGAGATTTTCTGCTAACCATCAGGGTGGCTTTGGGAGGTGCCTGCCTCCTCGATTTGGGGCCAGGGAAGCTCTTTTTGGGGTTTGCTGCAGCTCTGCAGGGAGGCACCACAGAGTTTGCTGCCTTCCCCTGCCCCCTGCAATGCCCCTTTCCCTCGTGTTCCCATCCCTGCAGGCTGGTCAATGCATCCCCAGGGTGTTGGTTTTCATTCCTGTGCCTCATAATTCCTCTCTGCCCTTCAAATCATCTCCCCAGGGAGGAGCAGCTCCCCCAGGATGAGCCCCTGGAGCAGCTCCTCTGCTCATGTGGACCCTGAGGGATCGTGGATTGATTGATGGGCATCTCCCAGTGCCCAAAATTCCTGCTGTCAAAGTACCAGACTGCACAGAAAACCATCTGTGGGATCTCAGTGCCACAAAGAGCCTGAGCCAGCCTTAATTTATATATTCCAATATCACTGTAGAGATCAAACTAAATATAGGCAAGGAGAAACACACCCCCAGTGCGAGCACTGCGCAGGACAAATGGAGACAATTAAGTCACAGCAAGGAAAGGAATTAATCTAATGATCTTTACAGGCTCAGCATCCAGCAGCCCATCAGCTCTGAGGGGAAAGGATGACGAGGAGCTCGGTTGAACACGATTTTTCCACTCTCCTTATGGGCATTTCCAGTGTGTCCCTTTCCCTTGCTGCAGGGAGAGGAGAGGGGACTCTGAGGGTCTCATCTGGAGCACCTCAGTGCTCAGGCAAAACCACTTTGCTCAGCCTTGACAGGGTGAGAGGGCTGAGCATGGAGAAAGCTTCAGAGAGACCTCGGAGCTCCTCCCAGTGCCTAAAGGGGCTCCAGGAGAGCTGGAGCGGGACCGGGGACAAGGGACAGGACACAGGGAATGGCTTCCCACTGCCAGAGGGCAGGGATGGATCAGAGATCAGGGATAAATTCTCTGTGAGGGTGGGCAGGCCCTGGCACAGGGTGCCCAGAGAAGCTGTGGCTGCCCCTGGATCCCTGGAAATGTCCCAGGCCAGGCTGGAACAACCTGGGACAGTAGAAAGTGTCCCTGCCATGGCAGGGGGATGGAACTGGATGATCTTATAAGGTCCCTTCCAGCCCAAACCATTCCAGGATCCATCCAAAGAGAAAAATCTCCTCTTGAGATGATTATCAGCCAGAACCTGCCCCACGAGCAGCTTGGGCAGTGCCAGTGCAGCAGCTCTCAGCAGAATTTAACGTTCTTAGAAGAAACAAAACTCAGCAGCAAAGGCAGATTTCTGTCTGCAGGGGCAGTTTATTGACTGCTGCTCTGCTCTGGGGTCTGTGGGGCCAAGCTGGGCCCTGTCCTGTTCCCACAGCTCGGTGTGCAAGGGCCAGTTTGCCCTGGTTTTGCCAGGATGGAATGCATTTATCAGCAGGGGTGAGCCAGGCCATGTTTCCTTTCCTAGAAACCTCCTGTCACTGTGCCCAGGTGTGTCCCCTTTGCAGCACCCCTGGTCACAGGGAAAGAGCCAGCTCACAGTTTGGGAGTTTGTCTTTCCTGGGAAGATGAGAAGATGCTCAGAGCAGCCCTGGGGGCAGCTCCTCTGACTGGGCCTCCAGCCCTGCAAGAAGGCTGCAGAAATGCAATATTTTGTCAACTGCTCCACCTAGTGCCATTTCAGCAGAAAAAGCAGGCAGAGCACAGCGCTCAGAGCCGCGCTGGGGCCTGGGCAGCTTTCCCTGCCTGGCTCTGGAGTGGGTCCATGAGGATGTGCCAGCAGCCAGCCCTGCTCCTGTGCTTACCTTGCAGAACCAGGAATCTTTACCCTGATTTTCTCATCCTTCTCAAAAGGGGACTATAAACTCATATTTGGAAATATCTGCCCTGGAAAACATAACACTTCTCATGAGCTCTTTAACTGCTCAGGAATCCCTTGGGTTGGATCAGGCTTGGAGCAACCTGGGGCAGTGGAAAGTGTCTCTGGCTGGGGTGGAATGGGATGAGCTTTAAGGTCAGTCCCAACCCAAACTATTCTGGGATTCTGTGATCCGAAATACAGGGAATAAAGAGTTTATGCTACCACTGCATTTTTCCCCTTTTTGTGCAGGAATTGGGAGTAAACTCTGCTGGGATTATTTACAGGGAATTTAGGGGCATTACAATGATTCCTCATTGCAGGACAATGAGGTGGAATCCCTCACCCCTCCAGGCTGACCTGCTGGCCCCACCAGCCCAGCCACCACCACCACATCATAACCTGGCCAAGAAATGCCCTGAGATGGCTCCTGGTGCTGTCACTGCCCAGAGCAGGTAGTTCCAGGGCTCTCCAGGTGAGGAAGCTGATGGAAGGCCTGTGAACAGCACATGGCCCTTCTAAAATAAAGGCTGTGCCCCCCAAGTCCTCAAACCAGGGCAGGAGAACCCTTAGGACAAGAGGAAACAGAGGAAAAGTTTTGCCAGAGGAAGTTTAAACTGGATATCAGGGCATGCAACAGCTTTGAACACTGACTTAAATTAAAATACAGAATAAAACAAATGCACAACTACTTATGCAACCGAGCTTTATTTAGAACCTTTGAAGTCATAAAACGTCTCATTTTACTGATCTACATAAACATACAATCAGGAGGTTTAATTGCTTTTTCCCTTGCGCAGAAATTAAGTTTTAAACAAACCAGAACACCCACCCCCACCCAGACAAGCGTGGTGCAAACTGAATTCTCTGCCTTGGCCCTGCACGTGGAGCATGGTCACTGGCTTATTAATTAGTTGCAATATAATTCTTTTTTTTGGCAGTAATATATTCGAACACACAAAGTGCAAATTACAAGAAGCAGAAAATGTTCTCTCTCCTTCTGTGCAAGGAGAAGTGCAAAATGCCTCAGCCCATAAATTCTATTATTGATGTCTATGAACTGCGTGTGCATCACAGGCTGATAAATAGCCGTGTACAACTTCATTGATTAAATGTGGCAACGTCTCAGGGTGGGTACAAAAACACAGGACAGAAGAATCTTTCCCTTTGGTTGATAAATTCCACACACTGCTGCTGAGGGCACCTCCTCACAGCCCACCCTGAACTCCTGCACGCCTCGGGTACTTGTGCAACCAGAGCAGTTTGTTCAGAATTCTCCAGATTTCTACTTCTGGAGACATTCCTGTGCGTCTGCAATCAGCATTCCACTCACACCTCACCTGGCAAATCCAACAGGACACTGGGAACCCACTGAAAATGAGAAGTCTCTTCCAGGCACTATTAAGGGAATACCCACCAATGGTTCCAGCAGGCTAAATGCACTTTGTGATTACCTAAAGTTATGGAAAACTTCCCAAGCAAAAAGGAAAACCCTTTTCCATGAAAACTTATCACAGCATTCCAGTCTCAATGTAGTTCACCTCGCTTCAGGACTGGTTCCTGTATGTAAAATGGGGAAAATTCCATTAAATTACACAGAACAGCTGTACCTTTAACACCTCCCTGCACTGCTCAGTTATCATGCTGCAGATTTTCAACCTTCTTTCCACTTAACTCCTGGAATTTTTCACACAAAATGAGCAGCCAATTCTGACCCCAGCCCCCTTTCATCTCTCCTGGCTACATCAGCATTACAAATTATGCCAAATAGCTCCAAATCAGACTGGGCTGCTTCCTCCAAACCCCCTCCTGCTCCTCTGGACAGGAAGATTAACCCACAACGCCTTGCACTGCCAGGAATCTGCCTGCCAAATTCATCTGCTAAATCACCAAGGCCACACTCACATCACCACTGCTCCAGGGCTGGGACATGGAATGAAGCTGGGAACTTCTGGCTGAACGTTCCTGCACCCCACCTCCAGAGTGGGACCAGCCTTGGGAAGGCTCCTCGTGGGCTTCAGACCCCAAAAATCTGCCTGGGGGATTCAACTGAGCTGGAAGGGGTGGAGGAACTCATCCCAACTGCTGCACCTGGCTGTGGGAGATCATCCCAGCCCTGCCTGGCAGTGCCTGGTGTTACCCAAAAATTACTCTGGCAGCCCCAGGAGAGGAGCATCCTCCAGGATCCACGAAAGCCTCTTCCTGCACTGCCAGATCCTGGGGGGACTCTTGGAAATGTCCATCAGTTTGGTGGTTAGGATGAACTCCATCGAGCTGGAGGGTCTGCTCACCGTCGTTCCTAGACTTACAGGATCACATTCCCAAAGCAAAGTTTTTGTCTTCGTTAAAGTTTCAGGATGAACAATTATGCTGCAGCTTGGCACGACAACAACTGCCTTTGTATGCGACATGCCTAGCATATATCAGCACATTTCTTCTTAAAAAATAGAATTAGAATAGAATGAGCTACGCTGTTGTTGTTCATGCTGCCTAAATACCTGAAAAGGCTC